GCCACGAGCATGAACAGCGTGAAAACACTGTAGTACCAATACTCATCCAGACACCACAGGCCAACACAGAACACCTGGGGGATGGCAGAACACAGATGACTTCAAATGGATACAGACTTCATTATAAGGTCAGTAACATCATATCTAAAGATATTTATTGAGAAGTATTTTTACAACAAAAATATATATACCTGGAAAACAAAAAAGGGAGCTGTGGCCCTCTCTTTGAAGAGCTCCAGGAAATCTGGCACCATCATCTCAGCACGATTGGTGCCGAAACGCTTTTCTGCCGCCCGGAGCTCCGCCTCCTCCTGGTAGCCACGCCAGGACTGAAAGTCACTCATTGGGTTGTCTATGGGGAATGCTATCGGAAGGAAACATTTCTTTTCTTTGTGGTCAAATATGTAGCGGATCTTTTGAAACTCAAAAGATAAAATCCCCTCGCCATTTTCATCCTGTAGGTCAGAAAAAGAAAGACCATTTTAATTAGCACCATTTAATCAAGAAAGGTTGATTATTGTAATTACTGATTGTATATTTACAAGTTTTAATCTTAAAGTGTGTGACAAAATACAGAAAACAATAGATTTGGGAGATGTTTGGAATAAAGAGTAAATATGTAAACTGACCTGGTCCCTCTGTAGTGCCACAAGCTCGGCAGAACCGTTGTTGGGGCAGGGAACGACCTTAGCCAGCGTAGCCTTTTTTGGATCTTGTTCCTGTGCAAATAAACAGGTGACAAATTCACACACTGTTCCAGGTCACTGTTATTTTTGCTGTGTGCCTCTGCTGCTTTGTCCATAATATGAACTTCAGGCCCATTTTTAAAGAATCCTCTACATTTAACAACAATAAATGTCTAGGCTAACCAGATTACATTGTTGATACAAATCTATTTGTATGTATTTGTATGATTGACTGCCTACAGACAGAACTCAAAGAAATGCTAAGCTATTTACCCTTGAATTTAGGAAGAACAAACTTGAACTTTAGAACATTTATTTTCTGACATATTCTGGAATTACATTTCCTATTACCATGCAATGATAGACACAGATTTGTTTTACTTTGACACCACCATATGTATGAATCAGCAATTAGGCATTAGATTTGCTTGATACAAGTTTTATTTTCTTTATAATCCTCTACTACTTAAAAGGCATTTCATGGTCTGCTGCCTCGCATCGTTTGCATCAATTACGCAGAAAATAGCCGGGCAACACTCTATGAGCTTTCAGGGCTTCTTTATGCGTTCAGGTGACCATACAGAATTGTAAAAAATGGAAGATGTTGCAAAATGGCTTTAAATCAAATTAATATAAGAGGCACATTCCTTGGTTAATAAACGTACATGCTTGACTCTGAGTTGCTTTTAGTTTTGTCTACTTTTCTGTTTTGTCTGTAACATATGTTTTCATTTACGCTGCTCTCTGTATTGGCAAGCTTTTACTTTGAAAAAAAAATTGTTTTAATTACAAAAAATAAAAGTGTTTCAAATAAAAAACAACCATGGGTGATGTGCACACATCACTAAGACCTTTTCATAACTTGAAACAAAGACAAATGTGGCAGTGAGAACTGTCATTGCAGTTGAAGTTTTTCCTTGTACTTTGAATTGCCTTGTGTTGAAAAGTGCTATATAAATAAACTTGCCTTGCCTTGTACGATGTGAGGGTCTAAGGACAGAGGGTGTCGTATTGTCATACTGATATTCTGTACAAACTGTGAAGACCACTGAGACAAATATAACATTTGTGATATTGGGCTATATAAATAAACATTGATTGATTGATTGCTGATTCCAGCAGGGAAAGTTTGATTATTGGTGGCCCCTCAAACATTTAGCAGGGGTCCATTCCTAACACCTGCCTACTTTTATAGAGCCCTTGATCAAGCAATGATTCCTGAATTAGTGCTAACCCTGAAAACCTTTTAATTCTATGTTAAAGGGATATGTTAAAAACAGTGGATACCATTGAAACATACCCCACTATTATAGTTGTATAAATAATGTTTACCTTGGAACAAGTGAGCAAGCAGTGTGCGTGCACGGACCAATAACCAGAGAGCGCTGTGAGAACGTGCGCGATCCCGATAGCGGCTAGCGACAGGAGGCCTGCCTCTGGATACTCGGAGGCTCCATACACTCCGAACCACACGTACATCCAGCTTGGATAGAGAACAGCCAGAAACGGGAGGACTGTGCCGTGTAGTAGACGGGGCCTGCGCCGGTACAGCGTCACCGAGCTCACCAGCTCGTCGCCGGTGCTGCTGTCATGCTGGCTGTGATTCTCAGAGGGGGCCATTTGCAGCTCTCCCGGTGCCTGGATCCCATCTGCAGCCATATTTCCCTCTTTCTTGGGGTCGTTCATTGAACTTTACTCACACCTCTGCCCCCCCTCTATCATCCACCACCACCCCGTCGTGCTGTTGTCAGTAAAATACGATTCAACACACGGAGCGGTGCTCGGTCCAGCCTTCGGAGCCCGTTTACTGAATCGCTCGGTTTCTGGTTTCTGGCCGTAGCTTCCGCATACGTCAACACGCAAAGACACGTAAGATTGTCTGAGTACATCACAAATGAACTGGAAAAAACACTCAATTATTATACCATCACGGTAAAAAAAATGTGGTTGAGGTTCAAGTTTACGCTACGTAATAATATACATATATAAAATATCGGCTGCATTCGTCGTGGAGTGCTTTTAGTATAATATTAGGTGTATACCACTTTAATAAATGCATCGTCATCAAAGGGGTTGGGCTAACATTTGAGATTGACACAAGCAGGAACCAATAATATTTTAGAACTATTTCCGATTGTTGCATTTCCATCCAATCAGAGGGTGTGTATAGTGTAGTTACGGCACAGACATGGCTCCACATGCAGTACTGCTGGTGCTATAACCTTGATTCATCAGCTTCTCGGTTGAGGAAAGCCTAAAACGAACAACATGTAAGACTTTTAAACATGGGTCATATCAACAAAACATTTGCTATGTTCTCTAGTCTAGGGAAGTAGGTACTGTACTGTAGAGAGATAGATTCAGACCGTAAATAATTACATTTTCTACCACCATAAAGCTACTTAATTACTATATTGCTTGTGCTTGCTTTAGAAAGTGTATCAGGTTGATCGATGGTTTATGGGACGTGTCTACAATCACTGAATGATTAACATGTGTCGTCTTTCAGGCAGGCTGCTATGGATATCACTGCAAAGTATTGCAATAAAGAAATGGAGGCATATGGGTCCTGTGTGGCCTCCAACCCATCTACATGGCAGTCAAAGTGTCATGAACTGAAGATAAACGTTGCACAGTGCACATCATCCCAGTAAGGCCACATATCTGTACATTCACTCCAATGTTCTTCAACCTCACACCCACATCTAAAAAATGGTATCTTATTCCTAATTGCTCTTATGTGTTTCTATAGCCCAGTGATTCAGAAGATCAGACAAGAGTGTTCGGGGGTGTTTGTCGAGTTTGAGCGCTGCCTGAGAGAAAATCCGGACACACCTGCCTCCTGCTCGCCTCATGTAGCTCGCTTTCTGGCCTGTGCAGAGTCAGTAGACCTCAGTGGAGTGGGTAAGTCCCTTTGGAATTGGCCATACACAACTCAAGGTCACATATGAACAGTTGTGAATAGAATCTTTTAAAACTAGGAGAGTAATGTGCAGATTACTATGCCTCCTCACCTTGCTTTTTTTCCCTATCACCCTGAATGGTTTGTGCCTGCTGTGTTTTCAGACTTGCAGATGTTCAAGGAATACCTTACCCCCTAAATTAACATTTTTTAATCTATTAACTGTTACCTTGGATTCTTGAAGAAACAGCTGCACAATACTTGTCTCATTTAGCAATGCATTTGTGCCAAAACCTTAGTATTCAAAACAATGTTTTTGTTTTACATGGACGTTAGTTTTACTGTGGCTGTTTTATCCGCGTTTGAATTTTTTCGTCACCCTGGAGTTATGTGAGAACATCGAGGTTTAATTAATGGATTATCCAAATAGTATTTGGAAGTATTCCTTAAGGTCTTGTTCTGTGCGTTTTTGTCTGATACAAAAACACATTCAAACAGACCCATGGGTTATCATATGTATACAAAATGGTACGATATGTACTACACCATCTTTGAGTGGTATCACTTTAAAAGTCAACATACCAGTACATGTTTTCTTCTTTTCATCTACAGATCCGGTACCTCAGCCATCGTAGCATCAAGACATCTCCCATCTCTGTCAGATTCAGATTGGTTGGTTTTACACATTTCCCAGCCATGTTACTGTACTGTATTTACAGTGAAAGTAAGGATATCTGTTTACCTCTGTGTGACTTAATGTGACTATTTGTCTTTCTTCAGGAAAGATATGAGAGAAATGCAACAGTACTTTGACTAAGAAAATGTGTCGAATATTTAATTACCAGATCGTCCTTTTTCTCATACTCATGTAAATGTTGTGTTCATATGAAATTAACATTTATTCCTGCCTACATGCGGGATATATGATTTTTATTTAATCATCTCATTAAAATTAACTTGTGTTTCTTATCCGATGTGGTTATCCTTTGTTGTTGTCTGTTGCTCAGGTCTGTCCCTCCCACACTTGCCCTCTCTAGGTCTGAGTCTGAGTCAAATATTAAACCGGAATGTATCGCTCCCACACAAACTGTCCTGACTACACAATGACAGAGAAATAGGGAGTCTGGGAAGAAAAGAGAAGGAGGAGACTTTCCCTTTCTAATCAGCGGGACTACTGAGAGAGACAGAGGGAGGATATTGAGTTATGAGCCCTGTGACCACTAAGCAGAACAGACCTTTTCTGGTTCAATTATTAAAGCTTTGAAGGGGAGGGGAAAAGGATCCCTTTCTTGTGTGTTAAATATCTTTGGTTTATACCAGATGAGCAAGTGATTAGTGCGTCATAATTTATCATACTTAGGACAATAAGGCAAGTGCACTACAAAGATGAAACCGTAGAGTGTATTGAAGATACGGCAATATTACATTCAAAGCACATCACCTGGCAGTCACTGAACAAAAAAAGTTAGATAGGAACTTGCCTAATACCGCACAAATAAATTACATTCACAAAAATATCACTGTAAAAATACCATGTGTCAGTGATCAGAGTCAAACATGAAAAAATGTTAACGAGCTGTAGCCGATCACTGGCACCTAAACAGAAACAAGTATAAACCTAATCCTATTTTTTTCTGCAACACATTGTAAATTTGACCCTGATGCTTTATGCACTTTCTATCCAACTTCAGTTTGGAGGCTATTTTTTTAGACCTACTTTGTGACACATAGATATCATGCTACAGTTTAAATAGTTGCTGATTATCACAGAATAAGGTACAAATTATCAACCTAACAACGTCTAATTTTTCTGAGAAAGAAATGATTACTGAAACTGACCACAATAATTAATTGTAACACAGTCATACTTCCATTTACATTTAAAAGCACATCATCATGTGCTCAGTGTCCTTACTTTTGGGGATTATAGATGTGTTGCTTGTCAATAACGTCACTGCCTCTGAGTGATTACATTATAAAAGAGAAAGCTAAAGCAATAATCATGTATACAACCCTGTTTCCGCATAAGGCTCCTCAAATGACCCTGTAGTGCTGTCTCTTTTTTTTTTGGTCAATAATACCTGTCATGCAATATCAAAAACTAAGCATGGATTTGGGAATTACCATTTTCATAGAGTTTCGTCCTCGTTCCAAAGTACATCCTTGAATTTACTGGGGAAACTAAATTGTAATCCTAGCACAATATCCTGAGTTATAGCTCAGGTCGAATATTCATACACACTAACCTGAGAGCAAAATGATACTCCAATCCATATACTGTACTGTATACGCTGCAGTCTTTCACACACAATAATCCTGTCAGAAACAATAAACATTTTGCAATGTCATCATTTCATTAAGACTCTCAGCTGCTCATACGGCCTGCCAAGACTCCTACATACATGTAATTTGAACTAAACCAATTTTTGTCTGTAAATCAGAATTTACATATGAGTATGCGTATTTGTTTTTTTAAAGTGCCATGAAACGTGTTTCATTGAACATTACCACAACCAGAGAAATTGAGGTCTTTTTACACATTTTGGACATTTACAGTGTATTTCCAGCATGTGATTATTATCAAGGAAAGATGGTTGGAACATGACGCAAATCTTCTTCAAGTGATATGACTATGCTTGTGATGATTTTGGCCTTTGAAAAAAGCTTAAGAGTGTGTTTGGGTGTAGGCTGTAGTCCCACAGGCATGTTTTAGACGGACTCCATTAGCTGCATCTCTGAGGTGAAGGTGGAACAGGAGTGGGAAGGGTGAGAGTTTATGGGGGTCAGGAGGTGAAGTAGGAGTTCTGCATGGAGTAGAGGCGGTCAATGGGGTTTCCCACCCGTCCAGACAGGAGACTGCCGTCCCCTGTTGCCAAAAGGCAGTCTCCAAGGTGACCAAGGCTTCCATCGCTGTCCAGGTCATGGAACACTGTCTCTGAGTCTGCGGAGAAAAATTGTGTGAACAGCTGAAGTGGATCGGTTTTCAACCAGAGAGCACAGAACGATATGAAAAGAATATAAAAATAAGCACGAATTTTATTCTCAACTCCACAAAGCAAGCAGGCAATGAGTCAGTCTCTGTAGTTTAATCTCAGCCTTTTCCTTACATTCTCACAAACACAACCTTTACAACTGAAATCCCGCAAAATCTGTTCAATCACCCATCAGCTAATGCAACTCGTTTGAGTCCAATATTACATTTTGCCTCACTATCTCCCACTGCACATTATCTAAGGAAATAATGAAGAAAATATTTGGCAATGCATCTGTTTTGCTAAGGCTCCATGCAAGCTTTCGAAATAGGCTGACATTTACTGTAACTACTCAGACAAAATGACCTTGAAGTGCGGTTTGGACTACTCATGACTATAGCTGGGTAAATCACAGGTTTAATCACGGTACACTTTTATATGCAGGCATCTTTGGACAACAATACAACATTTTACACAATTAGTCAGACTTATGTAAACAACTAAACGTCTTGGAAAGAAAGAGTGACGTGCCATGTGAATTTCAAAAATAAATGTGTATCTTAAAGATTATATGCATCAATCTTTTAACTTTGCATTGAGAATATTGGCATGTATTGTTACACCCATGACAGTCAAAACCAGAATTGAAAGGAGATAGGGACAGCATTTGCATTTTTAAATAAGGTTTGTATGGAGTCAAAGCTTTGACCTTTAGTCTTACCATAGGAGTGGAGCTGTTCATTGTTCAGCTGAGGCGGTGTGAGGCCATGTCTAAATGGCTCTCCACCGTAGATGTTGGGATCCAGAGTGAGTAGCTGCTGACGCGGCAGAGAGGGATATACCAGCATCCCATCCATGCCATGGGTACTAGAGCCATCTGTGCAGAGGTGAGAATCACTTTAATCAACCCATTAAATAGATTGTTTTGGTTTTTGTTTATTCTTCCTTTTTTCTCGATGTTGCATTGGCATATCAAGCGCTTACCCTCACTGTCGTCATTGCTCTGGCGGCCCCCTCTACTTGGTCCTCTCCTGGTTCCTCCCAGCTGCTCTTGTTCCTGCTGCTGCTGCTGCTGTTGCTGCTGTCTGCGAGCTATCTTTTTCATCTAAGGCACAACAACAGTGTATGTATAAATGCTTTTCTTTGTCCTCAGAAAATGTATAACCTTGTGTAAGTCTATACTAAATCTAACCTTGGCTCTCTGGTTTTGAAACCACACCTGCACAACACGCACTGTCAGCCCAGTCTCAGCAGCCAGTGTCTCCCTCACCTGCAGATTAGTTTTTGAATTGTTATTGAAACACCAGTTTAGACTGATTAGTATGCAATCTTCCACAGAACAATAACGTTTGCATGGGAAAGGAGTATATTCCTGCACACATTTCCATTGATAAAACAAGCTGGTCCTCCTACCTTGCGGCAAGGCTTAGCAGACACTTCAAAGGAGGCCTTGAAAGCACGCCGCTGCTGTGTGGTCAAGATAGTGCGTGGTCGCTTTGAACGCTTGTGGTCCTTGCTGTCGTCCCCACCTTTCCCTCCTCCCGAGCCTCCTCCACCATCCTCATCCTCACTTTTCACTGAGCAAGGTAACAGACAACAAAACAGTCAGGACATCTGGTACGAGAGGGGTACATTTTCTCATTCCATTAAATGGAGAGTACATTTAACATTGAAGTGACTTTGGCTCAATTCTGTGGATTTTTTAAACTATCCACTAGTTTTGTAGGTACTGAAGGCTCAGCTTCATATACCATAGGAATTCACAGAATGCACTGTAAAATAATGACTTATTTTCTATCTAAGACAATTAGCTATTGTGGTGTGATGTTTTTGCAAGCAAATGTGTTGTCTCACCAACTCAGATAGGCTTCGGTTTGAGATCCAGTTCATTTACAGAATAATTTTTACTAGTAAGTGAACAGAGGAGCAGCATGAGACTTGAGAAAAATATTTTAAATGGGGTCCAGGCAAAGCAGCTTTGTAAAGAACCTCCTTTACCTGAGTCAGTAGGTGTGGGACTAATAGCAGCCAGCATTTCTCTCTCCTTCTCATAGTCCATGCGGCAGAGCAGCTGGCCTTCTTTCAGCACAAACTCATCACCTCTCTGCAGCCGGCGTTCACACTCACAGCAGGTGAAGCAGCCAAGGTGGTACACCTGGCCTAGCACACGCATTATCAGCTCTGAACGTCCAATCACCTGCAGGCAAGCGCTGCACTTCCTTACAAACAAC